CATAGACTCAGTTATTTATGTAAATATAATCAGTCGAATCGTAGGGACTGTCCAAAGGGATTATGACCCCTTGGTTCAGGTTGATGTTAGAGGGGCTCCCTACCCTTCTGGCGGGGCTCTATTTGGGGATTATGACCCCTAGGGCATTCAGTCTCTCCTAGCAGGTCTTATATATACCCCTGCGGGATGAAAACATAAGGCTTAATTAGTCTTTGGGTTGACCAGAGTTTGAGAGTATAATGTATATAATTGGTTCACTTCACCCTGAACCCATTCTCCCACAATGATTTGGCGTGTGTTTTTACTTATTCTCGAGCTGTTTTTTCACCTAACGTGCTTGAATCATTAATATAAGTACACATGTCAACTTAGCAAATATTTAACACGAAATACAACATACATGTGTATCACTATTTGAGATATAAAAAAAACTGTTTAAATGCCTTATGGTGTAGATTGCTGTAAGCTATCTGATGATGCAAGTCATTATTGCTGTGATTGAATATAAAATTTTACATTTTCTTGCTGCAATACAATTTGATAGAGGATAATCACTGATCACTCATTTTCTCGGTGTTTGGCAAGTTTTTGCTTGGGAACTTTTTGTGGTAACTGAGCATCTATGGTACTATGATTTGAACCACAAGAAATCTATTACCCAGGGGGTTGCCAAGGAATTGCTTTTCTAAGCACTTTTTCGCACAACGGCCCACGGCCTATATTCTATAAGCATGTTAATTGGTTGAAACTCTGGAACTTCCACTTGTCGCAAATTATATTCAGCAGCAGAACATTCCACGAGTTCTCTCTCCTCAGGCGCAGTAGCCTACGTGGCAGGCTCTCTGGGTTTGGGGGAGGCGATGAAAAATGGGAGACTGAATCATCGCCTCCCCCAAACCCAGAGAGCCTGCCACGCAGGCTACAGGCGCGCAGAGGCTTTTAAAGAATATGAAATTCGAAGGAATTGAAATAGCGCAATTTCAAATACCTTCTAGCTTTTAAATATCTTCTTCAATTTCAATCCCTTCGAATTTCATATTCTTTAAAAGCCTCTGCGGAGGAGAGCCACAAGTTCAAATTACAGATTTATAGCAGCAAATAAAAAATATATAGATGACTCGCTGACAATTTCTGGCTACATTAATCGATCGCCGCGTGCGATTGAAGCCGATATACTGGTAAATACATCAATGGCATAAATCTGACTTGGCAACATTCCAGTAACCAAAAACGTAAAATTAAAAAATACAAATGACTTTATATCTCGATCTTCGTGCTTTTCGCATCTGTATTCAATACTTAGAGTATAGCCGCCATCTTCAATTCTCAAGCGCATTAATTTTATTGTAATAATTTACTCTAGATCCAGAACCATTTTACTCTTTTTTTGGGAGTTGAAACGACCCCTGGAGTAAAATTAAGGAGTAAAAATTACTACATAATTTCTACTCCTAAAAGCGAGTTTAATGTACTCCTCCAGTGGAGTTAAATTGACTCCCGATGGAGTAAATTGTAGAATGCGCGCCGAAGTGGAGTAGTTTTAACTCTATTTTGGGAATAGATTTTCAACTCCACAATTTTTGCTCTCCCGAGTGGAGTAGTTTTAACTCCTATGGTGGAGTTAAAATAACTCCTTGAAATTAACAGTGTGGTGTGTACCACATTCCTTGCATGGGAATGTGGTCTAGTTTACATTGGTGAAACTGGTCGAAATCTCTCAGTAGCTACGTCTTAAGGAACATAAGACGAATTGCGAGAAAGCCGAGCAAGATAAATCTCCTGTGGCTAAACCATAGAAATAATAGATAATAATAGATAGTAAAGGGTTATTAACCGAGAGCGAGATCTGTACGGGAAAGTATTTGCCTGAGGTTTTCGTACAGACCGAGCGACGAAGGAGCGAGGTCTGTGCGGATAAATTACCGAAGGCAAATACTTTCCCGTACAGACCAAGCAAAACGAGGTTAATAACCCTTTACTATATGGCTCCTTAAACACATTTTCTGATTTTCATATATTTGTTTGAGCGCGATAAAGGTATTTTTGAGCTATGTTTTATTCGTTTAGCTAGTTTTCTTCCTTTAGATTTGGATTCGTCACCGAATATTGTTTACGGAAAAGCATGTTTAACAATCGCTTTAGAACTACTTTTTCGGTAACCCCCACCCCCAGAAAAAATGTTTATAAACCCAGTTTATGTGATATTTGTTTAGAATATGGTATTAAAGACGTTAAATTCATCTTTATTTTATTTTTTGAAACAAGTAAACAAATCAAAAAATTTTCCCGCCAAAACTTACGGTTGCCAGTAAGAGTTCAAACGGCGTGTTTTCTTAGCTTTTTCGATGAAATTTGTGTTGGTACGAGTACTTATTAATATTTCCCAAACTTCTTATTCTTAAAAATGATCATAACGACCTTATAAACGTGTAAAAACGTTTCAAATTCGAGCCTGTCAATTTACATACTGGAAACCGGTCCGGATACAGGAAATACGGACCACGGTCCGGATACGCATTTTACGGACCGCACGTCGACCAATCAGAATCCAGGATTCTGCAAAGCCATATAATAATAATAGATATCTATTATTTCTATGGGCTAAACACACTTGAACTTACGATCGTCGTATAAAATGGGACGAAGTAACCATTTTGGCGATTGATAGTCATAAGTTCTCTCGCAAAATGAGAGAGTCAATTGAAATTGAGAAGCACAATACTATAGATCAGGAGCGAAAGCCACTAGATAGTATACGTGGCGTGCTCTCTTTAATGTGCGAAGTTAATTTCTCTTGTCTTGGATGCGCGCGCGTTAATTAGAATCACTTCTCTACGTTTGAAATGACGTGGTTGATGTCCCGTTTAATTAAGTTTCAGATGACGCGAGCCAACAGATCACGACACTTTTGTATATAAAAAAGGGCGCGTAAAAAAAATGAACAAGTCACATATTGTTAGCACTGATGAAGATCCGGGCTTACGGATCGAAAGCTTTGCAGTAATAAATTTACGTGGTGTTTCCACAAACAAAACTATTACATAATTTTATTATTTGCTAAATCCGGATATCCTTGCGCTATTCATCTCCGTACCAAAACAAAATGTCTTTCCGTATTTTCCCCAGATATTTGATTGTAAAACTATTTATAATTATTTAACAAGACGCTTCATCGAGCGTTCAGTTGTACATAATACAACGAAAATTTAATTAAAACAATTTGTGTTACAGCTCCCGTATTAGTTGTAAAGAAAACAGTATTTATACTTGTAATTTTATTCACTAGAAATAGTTTTAAAGAATACCTATGCACACTGTCACTGTTAAACAAATCTTTGTAGCTTTCTTTATGTTTGGCGGAACCGTAACTCCATTTAGTAAAAATATTTGCTCGTCTGTATTCGGAACAAAATCGGAAGCCATTTTGTTTTTGTCCGGAGGTGAATAGTGCAAAGATATCCTGAGCAACCAATGAAATTGCGCGAAAAGAGCTATCCATGCACCTCTCGAATATATGATAATAGTGCTACAGGATATTGGCCTCAACGCCTCCCGTCTCGGTGAATATTTTTGTACTACTGTTCACCTCTACTTCGGTGAATAATTGTTAAATACGTTATAATTAAGAATTGAAGAAAACTCCATTGTTTCAAAAAACGCAAATTAGCTATAAAATTCTATAAGATTATACGATTTAAATACTGTATGTCTGTTAAATATGTTGTAATCTATATAAAGTATATTTGGGAAAAATTTGCTGATTTTAATAGTTTGAAAGCAAAGAATACTGTATCGCGATGTATTATTTTATAACATTTTGTATCACACATTAAAGGATACAATATTGCGATATCGAAAAACAATGAGGGGAAAAACATATATACCTCATATAAAACCATATATGGAAATCTGCGACGATTATATTTCAATGTGAAATGAGTGTAAAAAATTCAATATATTTATGTCCAGTATGATCGCCATAATCAATTTTTTGGTATTTTTATCGCTTTTGTAGGTCTTCGCACAGAAAGATATTAAATGGCCTAGATTTTGTTCCACGATAGCAGTGAAACCATTTTCCAAAGAACAATTGAATTTCTTTAAGTTTTCTACACTTGTTCTTGATGGATTTCCCAAGGTGTTGCGTCAAATTTTTATCACCATGTGGGACAGCAAGGTTGCTGTAAGACCAGGATTCATTCCATGGGATGACAGTATCACGGTACGGAACATGCTTCTTAAATCTGAAGGTGGTAAAACAGATATACCAACTACGAAATCAATCGAGGAGTGGGACTGCACAGCTTTGTTTAAAGCAACAATCTATGCCAAAACCTTTGGTGTTTCAGGCAGCAAGGGATCAACTTTGAATGATTTATATTTGAAGAAAGTTAAACCACCTTCTGGTTCTTTTCATTCATCAGTTCAAAGTTCAACAGGAAATCAAGAAGAAACCTACGCCTTGGCAATTGATCAACTGCGATTATTGAGAAACACACTTTGCCATTCACCCAAACCAGTAATAGTCAAAACTGATTTTGATAACTATGTTCAATTGGTAACCAACGCTTTAACAGCAGTCAATGTTGATACCGCTTTTGTTGATACTATTGGTCAAATGAGCGAGGATGATTTCCCTACAGAGAAAGTTCAAGAATTACATGAATGTCTTTTGAATGAGTTACGAGCCAACAGTGTGTTTCATGAGAATATGGAGCAGAAATTGTCCTCTATTGACGAACGAACAGATGAAATGCATACGTTGATGAAAAATATGAATCTGGGAGAAAAGGGAATTGTATCAGGTAACGTGAAAATTTTTACCATGCATTCAAAGTATAGTGTCGTGTAATAGTTAATTTTGTTCATTTTTGGAAATAGGTTTAACTGTAATCGTAGGTCTTGCCGTAGTCGGGATTTTTAAATTTGACATTTTTTCGTGTTTGTTTACAGAAAACGCACAAGAGTCCGTGCGGAAACCATTTAAGCAATTAAAGGGATATGGCAACATATTTTTTATTATTTAATTTGGAAGAACTTTTAAAATTATATTATACTCTACACCCTGTAAAGTATAAAGCATTTTCTGGATAAACTGCATTAACACACACTAACAAGATAGGAGGCGGGCATCTCTTTATTGCCAAATTTGTCGAACATAAATTCGTTACAATTAATAATGTAAATACATATACGCATAGAAGTCTCTAGTACAAAAAATTAAAGTTTGTTTCTTGCGTATTGGCGAAGAGAATGCCTCGAATGGCATACCGTTCTGAATAACTCTCTTAAATACCCCCATTGTTCCAGTTGACGACGTCACAATGCATACCACAGTCTCTGTGTACATTCCGACTTCCGTAACGCCAGAAGATACATTGTAAATCTCCTTTACCGATTTTGCGTAACTTTATTATTTCTTGAGATATTTTGAGAGAAAAAATCACAAATCAGCGAGCTTTCCGCCATCTTGGATTTTGGAGGATATGCATGTTATATCATAAGCAGGGTCACGCAAGTATTTTATCCAGAGAGCAATTCGTTATTATGAGCCTTAAACAAGACTTACTGTTATTTGGTCATTTAGATGTAGTTATATATAATATGGCTAACCCTGCTTTTGACGTCACTAAAATCACCGATAATGAGATTGCATATAATTTTAATAGTTCTTTCAAATGAAATAATATTATATTGCCGTATCCCTTTAATATGATTAAAGCATTTAAAGCAATCTAAAATTCAAAGTTAGCAACCAGTTAAAGATCCTGGAGATGTTTAGCGCTTTTTTCCAACCGGCAACGATAGTTTTGTTAGTCACCTTGCTATTGGTCTGATAATTTTGCCTGGAATAAGAGATGTCAATGTTACAAGTCTCTAGTGTTATACATACGGACGGGCGTAAAACGTTTTTAAGTCTCAATACATGTATGTTTGGCTTTCGAAAGTAACTTTTAGTTACGTCGAACAAATTAAGTTTGCTAACTATAGAACAATCGTTTTCATATATTAAGTTAGAATCTCTTGTTTAACTACTGAAAAATTAATTAATAGCATATTATTAAACCTATAGAAACGTTACCCGCGCCATACGTTCCAAGCCCTGTTCCATTCTTTACTGGTAGAGAAGACGAAATTGAAGAAATTATAAACCTTGTAGCTGGTCAATCAACACGACTGTTAAACATCTGGGGATCTCCTGGATTTGGTAAAACATCTACAGCTATTGAAGTAGCACGCTATCTTTTGTCTCTCAGCAGCCCTGTGTATTTTTTTAAATTGCAGGGTATTGGAACAGTAGATGAATTTTTATCTAAAATTTTAAGTATTTTTAAGAGTAATTTAGCAGATATTAGTCTAAGACCTATAGATAAGGTAGTAAGTATTTTTAGAGAAATTTCGTCCCGAATTTTTCTTATATTTGATAACCTTGATGATCTTCTGTCAAGTGAAAGCAGTTCCGTTAAACTTATGTGTTTATTTGAAGAATTATTAGACAGTAATGTTAACATTAATATAATTTTTACAACAAGGGAGCTTTTAGAAAATATGCGCGATCAAATAGAAAGTTATCGGGACATCCGAATTCGACCCCTTCATCCAGTTTCATCTGCTGAATATGTTCGTCAACTTCTTCCTTCATTTTCTGAAAGTATTGTTGCAAATGTGGCTAGAATTTCTTCCCATGTTCCTCTGGCAATGAAACTCGTTGCTTCGATAGTTGAAAACAATAATGAAGATATGGCGAATAAAATACTTGAAGAATTAAGTCTTTCGGGAAATCTTTTAGAGATAGGCAGGTCCTACGAGCAAAACATGAAAAGGGTTTTCGAGACTCCTTTTGAACAGCTGCCATTAAGTGATAAGCATGCGCTGATTTCGTTAACCGTGTTTGCATCCCCTAGAATAAGTAAGGATGCTGCAGTTGACGTTATTTTTGATGAAATTGGAGTTGCGAAAGCTGTGCGGAGCCTTAAAACACTTGTGAAGAAATCACTAATTGATGAAGATTCCTGTGGAGAATATTACTCTATTCACCCTCTCATTCATTCTTTTGTTGTAGATAAAGCAAAACAAAGTGATTTTGAGAACGTTTTCCAATCCTCTAGAATTCGTTTCTGTAGGTACTACTTACTTCTTTTTGAAAGGATTAACGACGATTTTCTTTCTGGGAAGTCGGTGGACACTGCCGAACTGGAAGACGCACTGAAGCATCTGTCGACTACCATGCGTTATTTTATGACAACTACATGTAGTTTGGAAAATTTCCAAGAACTTTTTTGCATCCTATCCAAGTCTGAAATATTTCTGTTTTTTATTGGTGGATCGCTAGATCTAGATATTCCCAAATTATATGATTTTGCTATTGAAAAATGCAGAACACAGCAATATAATTACGCTTACTCAAAGTTGTATGTCAGCAAATGTTTTCAAAATATTGTCTTTTCTAGCCTTCTCTCCGAGTTTGAATATGTAGAAATACCTGAACATATACGTGAAGACGTCATGTTGTTATCGGATGGTAGTGCAGCAAAATTAGGCTGTTATGAAGGAATTTCACTTATTTCCAAAAGAAATATAAAGTCAGGTATTGAATGTATTGAAAAACATGTCGATGGTTTACAAGCTTGCGCTGATCAAAAACTTGTAAAATGCTTATGCTTGCAGCTCCTTGCTCTTTTTTATACTGATTTAAAAGAATGCAGCAAGTCGAGCAAATTTAGTAGAGAAGCCATCGAGGTTTGTAAAGATATTGGTAACTACAATCTCTTTCTAACTGGTGATTTTCAGAAAACTTTATTCTTGACGCAAAAGGAATATAAAGGCGAGCAATTAATATTGTTTGTCTGTCTTTTATTTGTGTGGTCAAATGAGTTTTTAAGTAAAGACACACAACTTTACTTTTTAAACCTTGTTCATCAATTAGAGCAGCAGCTAGAAAATAAGGCATACAATGCTCCACAGTATTTATTTCGGATATTCACATACGGTGATGTTATTTTAGCTGGTCTTGGTTTTCGTGTAGGACAAGAACGTCTTCTGGATGAAAAGATCACGTTTCTAAAAAAATCAGTGATGTCTGATAATTGTTGTTCCTTGACAGATAGAACATTTCCGAGTATGTCGGAGGTGTGTTCGACTTTATCTCCTAAGCGATTGCTTAATTGCTATACTTTCCAAATGATGATGGACGGTAAAGAAAATAAGCAAGGTCCAAGTGTTCTTGAAACATGCCGTAACGCACTTGATCTTTCGCTTCAACAATATGGTAAACAACATTGGAACACCGCGTTTTGTTACCACAAAATGGGCTTGGCTGAGAATAATGTTGGGAAATATATATCTGCTCTTAATGCATTTGATCAGGCTCTTGAAATCATGACAGCCACTCATGATGGGAGCAGCAACAGTATTGCTGATCTAGCCGAAGTTTATATCGGGAGAGGAGAAGCGTATAAATGCCTAAAAAAATTTGAATTCGCTGTTGCATCTTTTGAAGAAGCACTTAGAATAAAAAGAAAATTGTGCGATGAATGTACTGAAGAAGTCGCTCAAATCTTATTTTTGCTAGGGGATTCGCAACAGTGTTTCAATGATTTATCTTCTGGTCTTGCAACACTTGAACACGCTCTGCAAATAAGGAAAACGTTGTATGCTGAGAAGCCAAGCTCGAGTGGGTATGTAAATGTTTTAGCATGTTACTGTATTATAGGACAGGTGCATAGCGCGCTTGGCAACAACACTGAAAGTATAAAATATTTTAAAACTGCACTTGAAGTTGGCACGGATTGCGATCAAGAACGTTCAGTTATGCAAAGTCATATTTTTGTGCAACTTATACATTTGAACGTAGACGAAAACGTGTACATGGAATTGTTGGAAAGTTGTTTACCAGTGATTAAGGGAAATTATAGGTCGTTCTTACCTATACTGTATTTAAGATTAGGTTCAAAACAAATTGAGTCTGGAAAATATAAAGCTGGTCTAGCGTCCTTTCAAGAAGCTTTTGACATTGAGTTAGAGATCACACTAAAAAGCAATTTTGCTATTCGAGTGTCGACGGTTTCATGCTACATTCCAATGGTTAAAACTTTAATTAATATCGAGAAGTTTAAATTGGCGAGAAAAGCAATTGAGAGAGCTATCCAAATGGCAGAATCACTTCCTGAAGGTACACATCATCTTTGGGTTTTTCGATGTTATACGTGGAAGGGTCGCATTCAAAACACAATGCGGAAATACAATACAGCAATTGATTCCCTTAAACACGCACTTCTGGAACTTCCAAAAATTTCTCACGAATCCTGTGATAACCTCGAAGAATTTGAGTGTCATAGGGCGATAGCAACAGCTTATTTCTGTGTTGGATCTTATAAAGATGCGCTTTCGTCGTTCTATGACGCATTGTCTGTCATTAAAGATATTTGTTCAAAGGGAAGCGTAGCTGAAGCACAAGTATATCTCGCTGTGGCCATGGTCGCCCAAAAAATGAAAAACAAAGTTTTGGAAGTGAGTAATTTGCGCTGGGCGTACAAGATGTATTCCAACGTTCTAGGAGAAACCCACTCCCAGACACAAGTAACCTATATTGCATATGTCAGAGCTCTTATAGGTTTACGTTAATTGCCATATAATCATACCAAGTGAAATCGTAAACATCAATGTTTGGACTATCAACAGCGTATTGTTGGACACAGTCGATTGTTCATTTATGAACTTAAAGTTCATTGCTGCACTTCGCTAATATTCGTATATACAGGATTGCATTTGTACAGTTTTTTTAGAGTTCACCACTTAAGGACTATTCTTAGTATTTCCTGCAGGAATTAGCTTCAATTTTTTCCATGACAATTAGAATTTGCATAGCCGGGTAGTTCCGGCCGGAACCCTGATTTTTGCGAGATCCGGTTCCGGCCGGAACTGGTTGAAAAAGCATGGCCGGAACCGGAACTCTGTTATTTTCAGAGAGTTGGAATATCGAATTTATTTATTAAATAAAATTGATCAAACAGACTGAAAAGTCTAATTTTAACAACTGCATGTGAAGTATAATTAACATACCAATTTATCAAACAGACCAATTATCACGAAGCCGTGAAAAGCGAAATTAACGTGTGTTTTTACGTATACATTTATACACACTTTATATGCAAACATATAAAAAACTTGCCACAGTAAATGTTTCTGTTATAAGTGTTAACAATAACTTTAAACAATATAACGTCAATAAGACCAAGAGCCATTAAAATGAGTCAAATGACACGTCTTTCATGACTACAGTACATTAGTGTCCCAACTAGTTAACAGTTTGGGAATCGAGGAAGATTGTGGTGCAGGAATAGTAACTGTTCACCATTTCGTGGAAGAAGGCGTGCACGATGCTCTTCAAAGACGTTACCAGCTTCGGAGAAGAGGCGTTCTGAATAAACAGATGATGCTGGACAGGATAGGTACCGACGCGCTACTTTGGCAATGGTTGGATAAACTGATTTCTCTTCTCTCCAGAAACTTAAAGGGTCTTTGCACCTTTCAACAGTTGGAGTCAGAGTGTATCTGTCTACTTCACTTGCCAACTCAGAAAGACTTGGTCCCTTCGGCTTTTTCCGGCGCACTCTGGAAACTTCGGTTTGATCATAGGTTTGATCTCTTTCAGAATTTTCTTCTTCTCTGCAACTTTCTTCATCATCAGAACTTTCTTCTGCAGAACTGACTTCGTCATAGCACTTCAGAAAATCAATATGAATTTCCTCTTTAAGCGATTTGGGTGCGTTTGTATCTCTTCGTCGTCTCGCAGCCGTTTCTCCTTCGATTGGCTTATTTCCAGCCAATCCAGCGGCCTCTTGGGTATTGTTGTCTTCGTCTGCCGCGTGTGTATTGGTATTAGCTGGCGCAACTGCTGCTTGAAGTTGCATCTCTTCTAGAAGCCACTTCTTGGCAGATTCCTTGTTGTTCAGGAACTTTAATTTGTAGCGTGGATCAACCACCGTTGTGATGACATAATTCTTGTCATCTTTGACATTTAATTTGTTGGGTAAGCATGAAAGAAGCCGTTGTCGGAGGGCGTTTCGTATCTCAGTTTTAGTAGTTTGCACTCCACTATCATGACCATGCTTCGACAAATATCGATCAAGGGCAACGACATGAGGTATAACGTCACCTAGCGTCGACTTCTCAGAGCTAACTTGCTTAGTAATCTCAAAGAAAGGTTGAAGTATGCGCAGAATTTTCTCACACAGATTCCATTCGTTTAAGCTAAGAACTGGGACATCGTGGTTAGCAGTGTAAATCTGAAGTGGTCGCTATAGAGTCAATGCTCTTTCAAGCATAAGGTACGTGCTGTTCCACCGTGTTGAAACATCTTGGACTGGGAATAATGGTAGATTAATTCCTTGCTCAGCTTGAAGATTCTTCAGTTCATTGCGAGCCAGGCTTGAATGATTAAAATGAGTAGCAATACGACGGACCTTTGCACAAAGATCGATAATAGTACGCTGACTGAAGATGGAATCTTTCACTACGAGATCAAGAATATGAAGAAAACAGTGCACACTTGCTACATTTGCCAAACGAAGTCCCAAAGCCATATTAGATGCCCCGTCACGTACAAGGATGTGCTGCCTCTCCTCAGAAATCTCCCACTCTCTCATCATCTTACTGACCATTTGATCAATATTTTCCGCAGTGTGAGAACCAGGAAAATGCTGTGCGCTGAGAACACCGCTGCAACGTTGGAATTCCTCGTCGACCCAGTGCGCTGTTAGCGAGATAAACGATTCGACTGAATGTTGACTGGTCCAAATATCAGACGTAAATGAAACATGTGGGGCATGAATTTCATCCAGTTGAGCTAAGAGGCGGGCTTTTATCTCCTTGAAGGTCTTAGGAAGCATAACATCCGAGAAGTATCTTCGACTTGGTATCATATACTTTGGTTGAACATGGGCTAGTAACTCAATGAAGCCTTGGTCTTCAGCGATTGAGAATGGCTGATTGTCCATGGCCATCATATTCATGACTTTTTGGTGAATGGATACAGAACGGTTATCGTTGATATCCCATACTTTTTCTGGCTGAAGCTTTCTCCCAGGGTCATCTGATTTATAGCGGTCAGCTTCCTCTGCTTTGGAGACGGACCAGACGGTCCTGTATCTGCTTTCTCTTCCGTTCTTGACTTCGCTTCGCGTAGCGCCGTTTCTTCTGCCTTGCGATATTCTACCGCGTGCATGGATTTCATATGCTTATGCAGTGGAGATGTGCTGAAATCCTTGGGAAGACATCCGACTTTTCCTCTCCGTAATCCTTTCAAACAAAGTTTACATTTCGCAACTGTATCCGACTTGTCCTCGACAGTGAAAAACTGCCAAATTATTGACATGACTTTTTGATCTTAAAACAAATGGATTAATTTAATTATTGTTCCTTATTCAACTCTAACGGTTTTAATAATCCTTGGAAGTTTGTTAAAAAAGTGTTCAAATTAATAAATATAAATGATATTTAACAAAAAGGCAAAAATATATTTAAAGTTTCGTTTTCAATATGATAAAAAGTTGCCGATTTAAAAACCTCAAAACGTAAATATAATTGTATGGTTTTACTCTTACTTACGTGATCAAAAATATGCAATCTTTGAAAATTAGTAATACTCTTGAGTCTTGTCTTCTTTATAGCACAGCCCGTTTGTAGTTTTTCCCGGTTTTCCTTGTGTTTTTCGTATAATATTAATATTTTAAAAATATGTTTATAATACTTAATTTTTTTATAACATAAAAATATGGTCAGCGGTTTTGAATGGTGGATTATGGAAAGTACTTCATATAACAAGCACATACAGATAATTTAATCATTTCATATATTCATATACCATAATTATAATTTACACCATTACGTCGATAATAATCAATATTTAATTTTATTTTTTCCAACTCCCCCCCCCCCAGCTCTTGATACCTATGACCATATATGGCTAACAAACTAAGTTCCGGTTCCGGCCGGAAGTTCCGGCCGGATTTCTTTGCCAGTTCCGGTTAAATCCGGTTCCGGCCGGATCTTAAAATATTGGTTCCGGTGCACCCCTACATGACATCTTGATTTCAACTGTAGCTTGCACATAACTTAGTCATGTCCTAGTATGAAACTCCGCAATTATTGAAAGTGTTTAATTAATAGCATGCTTTTTGGAGAGACTATTACTTCTTTTCAAGGTTTAACTGTGGAACCTCCATATTTTCATTCATAAACCAAGTTGTTAAGGAGCATTTAATTTCAAGGAGCATCTAACAAGCTTTGTCTTACGAACAATTTTTTTAAAACGTGTGGGCAGCAGGGAGAGGTAGAGGAATGCAACATATAATGCCTTGCTTGGCGTGTTCCTGTTCATCTACTCTTTAATACAACCTATTTTGCAACAAAAACTACTACAACAATAACTGCAGCACCAATAGTGAAACAATTAACAGACATAAGGTGTTCGAAGTTCAGGTGAATAAGGGCGAAGATTTGACATTTGGTGGGGATGGATCCAGCCATATCTGGTGGAGGGTGCTCGTCCAGTTGCGATAAAGATGTCTGAGGGATCGAGTTATGGCAGCAAGGCCCTAGTTCACAGTCTTGCATTTCACAATCATGTCACTGTCTTATCTTGCTCTAAATCTAAGTGCTTTTCCAAGTCTGAAAATGGAATGGATACGGAAATTACCCCCCTCTTCTGATAAAGGCTAGAGAGGGTGTTCAGCGCACTGATTCTCCAGTACATGTCAGTCGATCATGCAGACTGTTCCGTTTGCCACTGTTCATTTCACATTTCAGACAATGAGGAATCTGACGCCTTTTTTCGCCTAATGAGGAATCTGACGCCATTCTCTCACACCGCTAGCCCCAGCTTCGATATTGTAAAAAATAAGTAAAACTGGGTTACAACGTTCGACAAACATTCTTATTCCAAATTGAACTTTTATTCTTCTATCACATGTGGAGGAACATCGACCGGAAAACCTAGCCATTGTGTGCTTCAATTGATTTAGTTTATAATTCCAAAATTACTCGTTGTGAGTTTAAAGATGTTTCCAGCTTGCACGTTTCGAGCATAGTCGAAGAAGCGTTTATTCCAAAGGCGGACGGGACGAAGGTATTGAAGATTTTTTCTCCTTTATTATGTCAAAATTGACTTAACCTTTAAAATTAAAATAACCTTTTTCATACGAAAAATGAGATTGGATGTCTGGGGTGAGACGAGGATTATGATCTCGCTAACGTAACTGTTGTAAGCAAAAGAGCTAGAAAATTCATGTTTTTTGCTATCTTATTAACAAATTTTGGGCAGTGGTCAAATTATTTCCTGCAATAAATTGTTGCAATAAATAATTGGATTTCCTGCAATAAATGTCAGAATAACAATTGGTATTGTCTCGGTTAGCAGGGGTTAGGAACAATTATATATGACAAAATCATGGCTTTCAGGCAGGACCTGCGAAGAAAATCTAGATAATCTTTGAATTTTATTTTTTTTAAACAAACTTTTTAAGTACATGAAATGAATTATGACTACAACTAGAAAATACATGCATGCAGAAACCCTCGCCTTGCTGACAAACAGACAAAACCATTGTATTTTCCGAACATGAAGTATCTGAAGTAGTTGTCATGGTAACACGATAATTTTTTAAGAATATTCTTACAAATGAAAAATCGCCTAAAAAATATCACTTTTAATTACAAAAGTATTAATTCCCCAACATATATATGTTAGGTATGTTATTATACGTAATATAAGCCTCAATTTAAGGTAAAATTCAACCACAAACGCTTCGCAAAACGTTTTAAAGTCACTAGTGTTCTTTTTAAAACTAAACTGCCTTTTAAAACGGCTTTATCGATAAACTTTGAGTTTGCAATAAAATGACTTCAAATTCTCGCTTGCAAATAACTCTGCTTTCTTTTTTATTTAAAAAATTCAATATCATAAAAAAGGGAATCAATATTACTAAAGATACACTGAAATAATATGCTGTCTTGCTTAGTTGTTTCATATATGCAAAGGCCGTCGGATTTTAAATTAAATCCATTATAAAATCAATATTTAAAACAAACTTACCTTCGTTAACGTCGGCTCACTTCTTTTAGCAGATTCTTTCGCCCTTTCTTTCTTGAAATTTACAAAATCTTGGAAAAAGGCGAGCGAAAATGAAATATATTTGTGATATTTGCAAGAAATTTATCAATCATCAAATCAAGAAATGTTTGCTATTTCGCTGTCGTCATGCAGTCGTTATAATGCAAACTTTAAATTGGACCAATCAGTTTTCGCTATTCATGACAGTCCACCACATATTTTGAGATCAGTGAGGATGACCACCCACTGAAACATCGTTGGTGAGCCACGCCCGCGATATTTGATGAACTTTAGACTCCGCTAATGCTTTCGTTTCCCCGGGTGTAAATAGCCGGGGGGAATTAGTACCCTCGCACGGCGCTTCGCGCCGTCGGCTCGGGGATTAGCTGTAAAACGACGTTTTTTGTATAGAATATTTTTTCATCTAATTTAAATTGTTCTAGAGACTGATATGTTCCTTGATAAAAATCCTTGCCTTGTTCCAGCGTCCTTGCATATCAGATTTTAAATATAAAATATGACTTTAGATAAGAGATAACACTAACCTTGCTGGCATTTACGAGAGATAAACGGATAGGAAATTGAGAAGATGTTTTGCTTTCTTACTGCATCTTATTACTCTCACCTTGTAAAGGCCCTGTCACACTATTGCGTATGACAGAAACGTATGAGAAGCGTATGAAAGTTAACGAAATAATTTTCATACGCACAAAAATCCTTTGAAATGCCAGCGTATGAGTATCGTACATCTCGCGTATCTCTAGCGTATTCAGCGTGTGCCTAGAGTATATGCTTATCGTATAAACCATACGTTCGATACGCACAAAATTTCTGAACATGCTTAAAAAAAATTTTCTGCCTCGCTGTATGCCACCGTATGCGACCGTGTTTGAAACGTATACAACCTATGTCTAACGTACCCCTAGCGTATGTCAGCGTATACCGGCGTACGCGTGATATTTTTCATACGCTGGCATACGCTAGTACGATACGCAATAGTGTGACAGGGCCTTAAGGCCCATTTTCTGAAGAGTTTTGTAAATGCGAACGGGTATATGGTGACTATACATTCTTTTGTCGCATCTCTATTTCATCCAATATATACTGCATTAAAAACTGTGTAAAATAACTAAACAACATGTTTGGCATTTGAAAGATACATACAACAATGCTTTTGTAATAATTACGATGCTAGAGTTTTTTCAGTATTTCATAATTCTCCTAAGCTCATTTCACTCTGCGATTTTTGGGGCAATTTCAGAGGAGGTTGGACAGCAGACCGCAAAGCATCATGGGTATTGAGCGCCTAATTCGACGCGTGGCTTCATTGACTGTTGACTGTCGAGGAGTGAACATCTCTCTGACTAAACAAATATGGAAGCTTTCGAACGACAAGAGTGTCAGATACTGTGAAAACAGCATATTGCTGTATTGTTGCGATCCTCATTATGACTTGTGTTTTACTATAGCAAGTTTACCTTTTTTTAAAATTGCATGGGACGTGTTGTCATTTTAGTTTAGTTTATAAATAATCCGTCTGAGCGAAGGAATTGTGTTTATATAAATATTCCCAATAGCAAGGCTCTTCTTTCTAATTAAAGTTGGATGGCGTTATTAAATCTCCGTGTATCATCAACGTAAAAACAAGCGCAGTATTTAATAAGGTTGGTATACTACAATGCATTACAGTTATCCTGTTATTTAGTCAAATTTCAGCGCTTTGTTTTTTATTCTTGCACTGTATTGTACTGTACTGTAATTTCATAAATACACTGTACAAAATTATAGCGTAATATTTGTGTTTATTGCCTATAGTTTGACCCTATTGTGTGTCTATGTACTGTGTCACTGTGATACATAATTATGTACATGTTTTGAGTTTAAACAAATTGTTTAATAAATTTTTGCTGAAGTATGATGCCTGTTTGTATCTAGTTGTGGATAGATTTTTACATATATGTGCATACAGTAGTTTATATTTTTCAATTTTCATCTGTAAATAATATTGCCATACTTGTGTGTTGTTCTAATATTACTGTGAATAGTGACACTTTTGCATTAGATTGCTAATTTTAGAGATTACAGTGTATGTATAAAATAATAAAATAAAAATTTTCTTGTTATGATTTTGTAGAAAGAGATCTATTTGAGTGGTTGGCTGGTCTTGAACCTGGTCAGGTAATGAAGGTGATGGGGTAGAAAGTTGTAATGAAGGTGATAGCTGGCAGAAAGTGGTGACCAGTTAAGTGATGAGGATGAAAGTGACGAGGACAAAATCACCCATGCTGTACCATTCAAGATTTCAAGTGCATCGGTGCTGCTCATGAGAAAAACTACCAACATAATTTTGGAACAGGCATACCTTGCTCTTCATTGGCCAGAGCAATTGAATCCAACGGACTCAAGTGCAATTGATCTAGACTGTGGAACAGGATGGACACATGTTGGTTATATTGCTTCTGAACTATGCGAGTATTTGCACCCACTAATTGCCGCAGGAGATATCTTAGAGGTCTATGTTCAGCATATCAAGTATAGGGTTGAGTTTTTTAAAATAGGATTTTATCCAAAAATTTCATAAAGCGACGTGGTGAGTGGGAGACTCGAGTGGTAAGGAAGAGCATGAGTGTACGTTGACAGATGTTTGTGATATAATAGCAACTGACTAGGTTTAGCAAGTTATAGAAATGCTGTTATTTCAATTGGCTAACTTTTTAGATTTTTTTTCAGCATTTTTAAATTAAACAAAAACTAGGTTAATCACAAGTGGGTGCAATTAAAACAATGTCTGTCATGCACACTCATGCAATTAAGTACATAATTGTAACATGTGCTGTACTAAATGAACAAATAAATAGTTTGTACATTCACTTTACCAACTTTGTGAGTAAATTTTCATTAAAATTAATGCAACAATAAAACAAAAATATGTCTATTTATATACAATAATATTGATCAATGGTCCCACAATAACATGCTGCTGATACTTTAATTAAGGTACATTATATGAGAATACAAAAATAACCTGCATATAATGCACCTATCAATGTTAACTCCCAAAGGGGGGGGGTTGGGCATATGTGGGGTATTTGATCATTAATTGCATCTCCACCCCAGGGATTTTGATTAGCCATAGTTAACTATGGATTAGCATTTGGGCCCAAGTTAGGGCAATTTGAATCAAAATTACTTTTATTAATATAGTATTTATTGCAATTTATTGCAAAATGGTAGGGTATTTGACCAATATTTATTGCCCAACAGTGGGGCATTTGACCCCCCTCTCTGGGGCTTAACATTGATAGGTGCATAAGAACCACCATTTCTCAAACTTTATCTGAATTAGTTGTGTAACAGCATTTATACAAAATACTGTTAAAAAAGGCCAAGTGGGCCTTCACTGCTATAAAGGGCATTCTATCCAATGGCATTATAGGACCAACATTTCCATGGCATTGTTCTCCAAAGCATCGAGCAGCGTTATAAATCAGATTGTCTTTTTTACCAGCATGAAGTACAGACATAGCCTTGGCAACAATTGGGATGAGGGACAAATTTAGCATCTAAACCAGGAGCATCTAAACCAGCATCTTTACCAGCCATTTTTGAAACGGGTGGATGAGTAGCTGTTCTTGTTGTCACTGCATGGGTTAGTTTTGAAAATCCAGAAGTTATGTCAAGTCATCATATCATATCAGTAACATTACCAGAGAAGTGAACAAGTTTAGAACTCCAAATTTAATGATGATGCTTAATTCTTGCAGACGAAATCATTGACAAAAATAGAATCCTCTAGCCAAAATCACGAATCTCAAATCTAAAACATCAGCCAAACAATGAATTTCACCAATAAAATCTTGTTACAGAAGTGCTTTAATTATTTACATACTTTAACCAATATATATAAATCCATAATATATCGAAACTTCTATAGTATATCAAATTTCTTTAGAAAAAAGCTAATAATAGCAGTTCATTATCGATCTGAGTGACAAGGCAGCATACTTTACAAAGGGCTATATTCAACGGTGAATATCTCGAAAACGGTTGAGAGGCCGAGGGGGGCCGGCTGGATAGAATTAAAGATTATACTTTTATTTAACTAATCGTGAAAAAAATAGCGAAATCGAACCATGGAGATTTGAGAATTTTGTCTTCAAAGATTGTTGACAGAAACGCCATTAAATTACATCGCGACGTCATAGCGCCTAAGTGAGAGGTCAAAATAAACTGGAAAATGACGCTTACCTTTTAAGATACCGTTCCAATGGGTAGATTAACTGTTGTAGAAGTAGTATCGCGTGAAATTTCCCAAAAAAATTGCATAACAATATGAAAAAAATCGATATTTATGAGCCCTATGTAAATTTTCGATGCCAAAAGCTTCGTGCGAGCATGAGGAAAATGGCGCAATCTGATTGGTCGAGATGTTCGCCTAATTGGCTGTCCAACCTCCTCTGGGGCAATTTCAAGATGATCTTATTTAATGACAAATATTTTCAAATATTTTTGTGGAATGTAGAGTGGTCTTAAATCAGCCACACAAATCGCAATGTGTAACGTGGGCTCAGCTTTGAAGACATTTTGTATTCTATACGAAGAAACATATTGATTACGGTCCTGAAGTTTCATATTTTTAGTAGTGGTCGTTATTCAGAAAAAAAAACCATGGAAAATTGTATTTTGAAAACAACTGACTCATCACTCAACGTACGAAACAGTTTGTTTTTCGAGTTGTTATATCACAATAGTGTCAGATGACATGCATGTTAAAAATACACGTTGTATGTGCTCAAAGATGAAGGCATAATGAACGAAAAAATTGTAAAAGGTCTTGCATTTGCATCTAATATGTAAAGGTCTTTCAAATGGGTCAAACTTGTATTTTTTAAGCACCGTACAAACGGGCAAGTTCTCCTTGTCGAGTTTACGACGACCATGCACGTGTTTTTAATTGATTTTTTACCAAGTTTTACCAGCCCGCGCTATTTAAGTACGTAAACAATCTCATGATAACTTTCGTTCAAGCTGCTCCCAACAAAATTAAAAACAGCTGAAACTGTCTACGTTACACACTTAAATGTGAATTTCCAAAGTTAACGATGTTAAATGGCAATGGTCGCTCGAAGATGAGTGCGCAGTAATGTACAGCGCAATTAGGCTATTTGGCAAGTTTTCTCTGACGGCCGTACACACGGACAATTTTTCTTCACAAGCTAGCATGACTACATAATTTTTAAACGATGCTGCTTGTCAAGGAAAACTTGCTTTATTTTAACATTTCCCGTTCACACGAACAAATAAAACTTGCCAAGGAAAACTTGTTCTCCTGTACGGGGTTTTACTCTGGATTATACTGTTATTTACTTAAACATTGTCACGACTGAGTTTGTGGATTGTTTTTGTATCGAAATTTACGTGAAATAATTTTGTAAATGTTACTCCGAGTTCTTTTTGTTTTACATTTTATTCACTTTTAAACGAGTATCTTTAATAAAACTTTTACAAAACATGTGTTCGTTGTCTTATCGTTTTAAAAAGCGCTAGACTATATTACTGAGCCCGTTTCCACAACATAGCCGCTGACTAAGCGCTAGACTATCTCGCTGAGCCCGTTTCTATAACATAACCGCTGACTAAGCCCCAGTCTTTAAAGCTGTTTCTTTATTGTTTTCTCACACGGCTACACTCTCCCCTCCTTGTTGAATGTTGTCTCTGACATTTTAGATCCGTATCTTCTTAACACAACTGTTCCAAGTTATAAGTATCCTTAACAATTCAGACACTCGAGTTGGTTGATCTGGCCAGCTCACTAACCGAAACGTAATCTCTCTCTCTTCAAGACACTAAAGATCCTAACTACGTAAGTTACCTTACTTTAGCTAATTTGTATCAAGTACAGTGAAATCCTAAGTGAATCAAATGTGTTTTTTTTTTAAATATAAATGTGAATGTTTAATATGTTTACTTGTTCCTCTTTGTCTTCTAATACGTTGGGTAGTAACCAAAAGGCGGTGGTGATATCACAGGGTTCATTACTTGTGCGTAGAACATGGGACTCTGTGTTGGACTCATCTACGGTACTGATATCATCGGAGGTTGTATCGGTCCAATCCAATGTGGGCCAAACCACGGATCTCGTATTTGAACTAATCCCACGTTAGGGTCTTGCCAAATGAAAGGAAATTCACCCGTAGGACAACCAGGTGCATTGTATCCAAAACGTAACGGTGGCTGTCTTTGCCTTTGTGAACGAACCGGTTGCGGCGGTGTTTCTTCGACATCACTCGGCGTTTCCATCGTTTCTTCTACTTGTATGTTCAGCCTGTTCGCGTCATTTTCATTACCATGTACTTCCCTACTCTGGTTAATATCGCCATTTGTACTTGGGTCCACTGTCGCGTAGCCTGCTCACAGACGTTGTAGTTCTTACGCCAAGCGACGAAATACTACCGTCTGCTTACCCGAGCTGCATATTCAATTCCCTTTGTTTTAGCCGAGCCAATCATCTGGCAGTGTTCAAAAACATTAGAGCCAATTGGAAGCCGCCTTATATATTGAGAGATTAGCTACTGGGAAAAGCCCTTGCACATGCATTGGAAATTTGGAATATATTGTTTGGGTTGAAACTTGAAATTTGTTTACTTGCGTGGATATATTTTGGAAACTATAGCGTTGAACTTCACGATGTTTACGTAGAATAATATTGTTATCATCTTCTCGCATGTTCAACAAACAATCGGTGTATATAAAGTGCTAAAGCAATGCAGTAGGCGAAATTTAAATTTTTGTTTATAACAATGACAAACAATCAATCGGGAACCAGGATATGTCCAAATGTTGCTCTTGATACTTCCTATATGCCATGACTTCGACGAAAACTTCTAAAAGATTAAGTTCTCATTGTCATGTAGAAAAGTATAGCCAAGTTAGAGTATATTAAACGTTTCGAAGTTTGGGCGAATAAATAAATCACGGCGCAATTTTAATACAAGTTTCTCGGGTTTGTGTTGTGTTTACAGTTTACATTCAGAAGTGGTTGCTCAGACAGCAAATTAGTTTACTTTGAAGCTAATATTTCGCTTTCTAAGCCACAGTATTATATAAAATTTTCTGTCTTCCGAGTTCTGTTGTCTTATAAAGATAAACCGTTCAAATTTCAGCGAAATATATTCGGCATTTGATGCCGTCTGGCTAAGATTCATACAGTATAAATATGCCAATCCTGTCCGCATTTTAAAAATCTTAGAATATAAAAAATATACTGATAAGCTCTCGCTGTTGTTTTCCCGCTACATACATAATTAGTATTCCATGTGCTCGCGTGTAGCACACGCGAGATGTCCACGTAATTTCGTTCAGTTCCGACACACTCCCCTGTATACACTCTGTAAGAGGTGTATACACTAACACAACACAAAATGTTAAATTTAGAATAATTGTCAATATCACTGTACGTTACTTTTTCTTTCTCCTACTCATCATCCGCTGCTTCGATCTGTTCAATACGGAGTTTTGCTGCAGTCGCCGCGTCTCGCCGAGGTCGTGGCTCGAATTCTACCGCATCTGGGTTCAGGATTGGCACTTCCGGTACGACATCACAGCTCAGTTCTAACGGAAAAAGCAGCTGCACGGCTCTTTCCAAGGTTCCGTTTGAAGTCTTCAGACGTACTCCCCGTATCACGTTATCCTTTCCAGGATAGGTTTCTTCTATGATTCCTAGAGGCCACGTACCTCGATTCTTGCTCTCGGTCTGTATCAACACAACGTGGAACTTGCTTCTCTTGTTAGACCAGGCGGAGAAGGGGGGAATAGTCCCCGACGGGGAAATTTATGAAACCAAGTGAACTTGGTCAATTTTGGGGTGCTGAATTCGAAAATCGTTGGTATACAGGCCGTGGACGTGGCCTTCAGCCTCGTTTTCGCGTTTAAAGCCTCGTTTTGATGCGAAAACGTTATCCGCTCGATTGAAGCGAAAACAATGAATAATTTAATTGAACTTTTATTATGAATAATTTATTATTATTAATAATAAACAATTATTATTATAATAATAATATTATTATAATATAATGAATAATGAATAATTTAATTGAACTTTTATTGAATAATTTAATTCAAAGAACTTAATGAATAATTTGTTTAATATACGCACTTTTAGATATTTTTAGGTGCAGAATTCGAAAATTGATTGCATTCGGACGATAAACTGGGCCATCTGCCTCGTTTCCGAGATTTATAGCCGCGTTTTTACGCTTTGAAACCACGTTTTCCGATTTTAGTTACTATACATATTTAAACTACACTTTATTTAATCGCTTTAAAAACCTGTAAACATGTTAATGCTCATCATCCTCCATATCATCGTCGATGTCATCTCCAATATAACTATTTCGCTCGAAATCAAACTCGTCACTTTTTTCTTTTCTGTCAATTAACATTTCGCTAACGTCATCGGGGTAAGCAACACTGTCCCAGATAACTTTTCCATCTTCTTTCCAGCCATGACATGTTTGGTCATCAAGATCGAGGATCAAGTTTTTAGCATTCCTGAAAATGAATGCAACATAATTTGCACGCATTATGTGAAACTTGAGGTTGGTTGCACAAGGTGGCAAAAGGCTAAGATCAACGACTTTCTTCTCTTTCGTAAATTTTTGGACAAACATCTTATGTCGAAGTTTGTTCACCGAAGACATCACCTTGTTACCGTATAATGCACAAACGAACCTTTGTAAGCTCTCCGAAAGATGGTCAGGAACTTGAAGAGAGCTGCCTAGCTTAGCAAAGAAACTAATAAATTCTTGGCTTTTCAGCATCGCTTTCCAAACAGCCATCTTCCCTTTCCTGAAGAAAGTTGAAACGTAGTCGTTACCAGAAAACGCGTGCAAACCAATCAGAGCCTTTCTTTTCTCATGATCTAATGTTGACGACGTCACATCTATAATTTTTCTAGCTTTTCCGGTCCCGTTGTCGATTAGGATTTTAGCGGCACAAAAATCATGCGCCACAAACAGGGCAAGAATATCGATATCTCCGGAAGGTGATCGAACCATAATAGTATCTTCTGGAGGTGCGTTCACAGCGTAGGTCAAGGCAACAAGCTTTGTGTCCGCTTCCTCGTGGTCGCTAGCTAAGTATTCGGCAACTGATACTTCATCACTTGTTATCTTCGTACACTTGAATTTGTTGGAAAAGAATACGGTTTTTCCTGATAGTAGATCACCACGCATTTCTTCAATTGCTTTCTGAATAAGATTGAAAAGCATTTCTTTGTTTTCCCCATTACGAAGAAAACCAGCGAAATCGTAAGGCACCTTCATGTCAGGACTGGTTAGGACATACCGCTCGCTTGAACCTCTTGCTTGGCGTTCTCCACCTTTGATGCTATTGTCCTTGTATGTGTCACAAACTATGTAGATAGTCGTGTACTGAGAAGGAACACTGGCTATTATTTGAGATGTCATTTCTCTAATCGTAGATCCAGTGAAGATCAGACTACGTATCGCAGCGGCGAGATCTAACAAGTATGTTCTCATTGTCGAAGCGGGTGGTAGTGAGTCGTGGCTTACAACAGTCAGGTCGCTCATGGAGGCGTGGTACAATTTGCTTTTGACGGTTTTCATCTGGTGTGCATAGCGGGATCGAAACGGGTGCAAGAGGAAAGCAGAGTACTTTCTCAAGATCAATACCTGACTCGTGCTTGTTGGAATACGCAACTAACATCCCCAAGATATCTCTCTGATATGTGAGTTCCTTGATCCTTCCCTTGTTCTTTATCTTGGTCTTTACTGCCAAATTCGTGAAGGTCTCGAGCTTCTCTCTCTTGATTGGGCTAAAGAAATCTGCTCCAGGTGATTCTGCTGACTCTGTGGTAATTCTGTGCTGAAATTCGTCCATTAGCTCCTTTCCCCTTGATTCAAGTGCAAGTAGACATTCACACACATTCTCTGGAGCTGGATACCCGGAAACCAAATTGAACAACTTATCTTTATCAAGGTCAGCATGGAAGGGATTGATGAATTGTGTCTTCAATACCACCATGATTCCTTCCACCATCTTATTCGACTTCAGAATTTCACTGCTTCGCAGACATTTCGTGGATTTGACATTGTAGTGCACACTCCGGATAGCTCCAGTAACGATTCAACAAACTTGGTTTGGTATGGCCTGTTCATGACCCACTTTGTTACAGTACTTTCCTTTGCAGCAAATTGCGTGATTCCCCCTAAAAAGACGGAGAATGGTAATAAATATCAAGTATAAATGTACGACGGTTGCCACCTGTAAGGAAATATTGTTTCAGGAGATGCATGGCTGAAATATTTAAGATTATTACTTTTTGAATTCATGAGTATGAAGTATGTACCTGCAGTCTTTGCATTTCTCATGTAGCTTTGTTCGCCTGTCATGTCGATTGACTGTCCTATGCCAAGTTGATTTCTCCGCACCGACAAACCAAGATCTTCGATCTCCTGTCTTGCTCCTGGATGAGTGCTGTCAATACCTTCTAAACCACTTACATAATATGTGCCATAGCGAGCATAATGAACCCGATTGGTAGCAAAGCACAAAGGCAAAGATTCTTTCCAAATGAGCATTCTCAGGTCATAATCATTCGTATTGACGGAAAAGTGCAATTTCTGCTGACGATCAAGAAGCTCCATATACTTTGCCCAAAACTGCGGTGTTTTACCGAATTCTCCATTCAAACATTTGGTTTTCTGTATTTGACATTGATCAACATATTCTTTAACAGTGTCATCGTTAAGAATGTTGGTTAAACTCGTTGCTTGCGCGAGGTTACTTTGTGCGCACTCCTCGACTTTTTTTGGCATGGTCGGTAGATATTGTTCTACAAAACGTCTTTCTAATGCTTCAGAAAAAGCCTCGTGAACAAGCCAACATCGATTGTAGTGCTTTCCACTCATCACTCCCGTAATACTTCCAGAGCTACACAGACCAGCTTGAAATAACACATCTTCGAATCCACTGCTCTCCACGAAACGTCCAATAACTGCAAAAAAGGTCATCATTGAATGAAAATCTCCCAGATGGATTATTATGTCGGACCACGCAGCTGGATTGTTCCAAACCACATGAAAGGCCTTGATTGCAGCTCCCGCATCGAGGGTGATGTGAGTGTAGGACATGTTGGATAGCTTCGCCAGCTGCCTAGATTGATGGAACATTTCTATGATGGTGGAGTATTCGGTTATTGGAGAAGAAATAGGAGGCAGGTATGTCATCAATGTTGCCTTGCTATGAGCCTGCTGAAAACGACGTACGATCCAACCTACGAACCGGGGGTTTGTCTGATTAGCCGAGTTCAGATATCGCACTGATTTCCATATCTGCAACAGTTTCGAACAGTACATTTGTGCACTAGTAGGAGCTGGTCTGCTCTGTATTTTAGCAAGCGATGGTGGTTCTGCTTTTGGGTTGACTGCCACTCGCTTATCAACCGTCTCTTTGGGGAGTTGGATCGATCGTCGCTTTGACCTGGGAATGCTTATATCGTCTTGTTTCATCACAGCTGCCTCAGAGTGTTCTTGAAACGCTATTCCTGGTGTATTATGGATAGAACCAGCGCCTGACGCAGTTTCAACATTGCGATCAAAGTTATCCCACCAGAATATCGTTGATACCTTAAGGGGAAAATGCTACAGCTTAATTTTGTTGATTATTTCTAAGCGAAAATTACCTTACTGAGACTTTCTTATTGTGAATTTAGTAAAAAATTTCAATTCCAATCTAAATTGATCGTATACAAATGTTGTGATGAAATACAAATAGACTATGGTATAAAAATGTAAACAATTTACGGCGAAGTTCGTAACTCACTTACATAGTTCTAAAGCTTGGCGCGCGTCATCATCGTTGTCTGCTTTTTTTTTCACTGTCAGATTGCGAGTTTAGTTTCAATAATCGTAAACTGATATACTTACTTAGGAACCAATTGCTGCTGGTTGAAGAGGTAAGTTCAGACCCATGGATTGAAAGTGCTCTACCAGCTCAGCCTGAGCAGTCTCGATTTCGTTGATTGCGTCGTATGTAATACAATGTCCTAATCTTGCCAGTATAGTTATCGGTAGTTTTTGACCAGTCATACTATGAAGGCCAAGACCTAGTGATGCGTGTTTTGGCGTAAGGAATTTCCCCTTTGAAACAGCGTGAATGACATCTTGACAAAACGAGTCAGTCAGTCGATCTACTCTTTCGGCAGTGACGTGATGACTTCCTTTAAAAGAAAAAAGTTCCTTGAAAAACAATTGCAGAAGCTCTGGGTATTGTCTCTCTCTTGAAACCAAACTTTCAACTGTCGGTGGCCATGGAAGTGGGTCAGCCTCTTCTAAAAAATTTAAGACAGATTTTTGCAGAAACGAAGCTGCCCTTTTTAAGGCGGATTGTTGAATACGTGTAGAGCTTCCCGAAATCATTGTGCAAACATTCTTTACTTATCACCACTTGCGAAATATGCTATTCTGCTTGAAGAAAAACTATTTGATCGCCAAATGACTTCGTAAGGCGTTCCTTCAGCTTGTGTCTGCTTTGCCTTGTTCCAATATTACCACAATATCTTGTCATTAGTGTTTCCATTGACAAACATTGCTGACCGCCTATAATATCACTGTCTACCAAGGAAAGTACTGCGTTGTAGTCCCCTGATTGTTTGTCATCATTTCCATCTTCGGTTGATTCAGCTGTTTTCCTGACGACTCTAGTATAGTCAAGATAGCATTTTTCGTGTTTTTGAAATTCTTTTGCTTTCAAATCAGTTTCGGTGACGGCTGTCATTATTTCTAAATCATTGTGAGCAATTTCAGCTTCTTTTAGTGTTCTTTCTGCAGTATCGGTGACAATCCTAGATAGTGACTGGCGTACACTTTTAACCCTTAACTCCTTCTTCTTACAAATCATACATATATTCGGGAACAGTCTTCTAGAGCCAGTAGCTTCATCACTTTGTCTTTGTGATGTTTTTCTTGTTGATTTTTGAAGCTTGCTATTGGAACCTTGACAGCCGTCTTGGCTTGTTTTCCGTTTCAATAACGTTTTGGCATATACAAACTTTTGAAAACATTTTCGATGGTAGAAGTACTCAATTTCTCCCAAATTCTCTGGAATTTTATTGCATTGATCAATGTGATGATTTTCACCGCCCAGACTCTCTCGTATTTTCTTACACTCGAGCAAAGTTTCAAATGTATTTGCACTTGGTCGAATCAGTTTATCACTAGATGTGTCCAGTGAGTCATAGTGAACAACACAATCGGCCATTTCTTCCTACATCGTCTCTAAAACCTATTCAAACGACTCTTGATTGCTAATTCGATGAACTGTGAAACAATAACACTTCGAATTCTGTTATGTTTTTAATGTTGTTTACAGCGTGAAATCGACAACTTCCGCCAATAATTATTTTGTTCAGTAATAATTATTTTGCTCAGACCAAGCATTTTCGCGCGGATATTTACGTTTACCGATCGTTAAAAACCTTATAGCACTTAAGATCTAGAAAAATAGATAAATTGTCCGCATCGAAATGCTTTTTTATTCGAACTAATCAATTAAAACAGAGAAATCGCGAATTTGGGATATTTTGCAACATTGCAAGAGATCGACGAGAATGTACTAATTTTAAAATTAAATATGCCCAAACGTCAGCTCGGTACGGGGCTAAAAAATTTCATGTTTGTACACAAAATGGCCTCTTTACGCATTAAAGTATGACACATTGCCTTGTACTGGTAACATGCGTGCATAAAGTGTAATTTAAATATATTAGTAACTAAAATCGGAAAACATGGTTTCAAAGCGTAAAAACGCGGCTATAAATCTCGGAAACGAGGCAGATGGCCCAGTTTATCGTCCGATTGCAATTAATTTTCGAATTCTGCACCTAAAAATACCTAAAAGTGAGTATATTAAACAAATTATTCATTGTTTTCGCTTCAATCGAGCGGATAACGTTTTCGCATTAAAACGAGGCTTTAAACGCGAAAACGAGGCTGAAGGCCACCTCCACGGCCTGTATACCAACGATTTTCGAATTCAGCACCCCAAAATTGACCAAGTTCCCTTGGTTTCATAAATTTCCCCGTCGGGGGACTATTCCCCCCTTCTCCGCCTGGTCTATGTGGGTCATGTTGTGTCTTTCCCGTAAGGCTACCAGGTATTCTTTTCTCCAACGCCGCCACAGCTTGTTCCTGCATTCGATTAGATATTTTGCTCGTTTTCTTAGTTCTCGTTCTTCGATTCGCCATGGTTCTTCCATAGGGAGTTGGCACGTGCGTTGATGGAGGAACGTAGCTGGGGTGAGGGTTGGTAACTGGATGTCGTCCTCAACGTACGACAGTGGTCGGCGGTTGATTTGAATTTCAACGTCGAGCAGAACCTCACTTAGTTCGTCCCAAGTGAGATGACCTCCCCCGATCACCTTGTACATAGCTGACTTGATTACCCCGATGAGGCGCTCGAATTGGCCGCCCCACCAGGGTGCACGACTCAGGTTAAATTTCCATTTAATATCGTACTCTTCCGCGAAGCCTCGTATACTCTCGTCTTTCCGTTATTGTTCCAGCCATTTGCTGGCTTTGACGAACGCGTCGCCATTATCGGAATAAACTACGCGTGGTCGTCCTCGCCGAGCGATAAATCGTTTCAAAGACACGATGAAGGTACTGGTTTCAAGGCTCCGCAACAGTTCTAAGTGAACAGCTTTCGACAAGCTGCAAGCAAATATCACGAGGTAGGACTTCCCTTCTGCTTTGGAGGATTTCCGGAACTTCATTGGCCCAGCAGAATCGACTCCGATCACCTCAAACGCTGCACCAGGTGTGGTTCTGTCCTCTGGTAGTTGTCCAGCCACTGGAGTTGTAAAGGAAGTAAGGCGAAATCTCTTGCATCCCCAGCATCGACTGCGTATCATTTTCACGAGGCTTCGAAGGCGAGGAATCCAGAAAGTTTCTCTTACCGCCGCCATCGTAAGTCCGACACCGCCATGTAGCGTTTCGCAGTGAACACGTTGCACCAGCTTTTCTGTAAATACCGCGTTCCGTGGTAAATAGATAGGGTGGATTCCTTACATTCTTCCGATACATACTATAATTCCTCGATCGTCCGTCTCAAGACCAAGTTGCGCGCTGGTTTCCTTATAATGTTGTTCGACCGTGTCTCGGAGTTGAACGCGTCTGATCCACCAATACTTTGCCGTCTCAATCTGTTCCGTACCCAAAGGTCCTGATCTCTTTTCTTTAGCACGGCAGTTGTGAATAAATTGGTTTATCCACGCAGACACTCTCAGTGCTCGACGCAGCGTGTTTCTTTCGAGAAGTTTGTCTAACTCGTCTGTTGTTGTTTCGGTGGATTTGGTTGGCTATGTAAACGAGGTCTCGACTAATCTTGTTTTCAGCTGCCGATTCGGGTGATGATTTTGTGACCGGATTGTCTGGCCACTTTGCTGGATCACTGAGCCATTCTGGGCCCGACTGCCACAGTGATGAAGATATGGGACCGCCTTTGCTAGCAATGTCCGCGAGGTTGTCCTTTGTTGGGACATGTCGCTATAATGTATCTCTTTAGTACAAGTTGTACAGTATAAAAATGTACTTTTATTGCCTTCAATATCAAAACCCTATTTTCTTACACGTGGTCTCTTTCTGATACCTAAATATATATTACATCACGTGACATGACGTGACTACATTACATTCCTCCTTTTCTTTAAAATAACTCATTAATGTTAATTGCTGTTTATTGAATATTGCCTTATAAAGTCTACGTGTCCGCTTTACCAGTAATTATTTAACTAGTTTTAACATGTCTAACTTCTATAAAAGTCCGGTGGTCTTCGATTTTGTCTAAGACAATACCTTTGTATTAGATCTGGTAGATCTTGTTGTTGCTCTTCAACTATTGTTGGTTGCTGGTTTTCTACTATGCCGTCGTCAAAATCGTCTTCTTCATCATTCTGGTCTTCCTCACTTGCGTTCTTGTAATTTGTGAGACATTTGAAACACGATACATTCCGGGTTACGGTGCGCTCTGTATTACGAGCTGTTACCATGTTGCCTTTGATTTCAATCACTTTAAATGGTTTTGGATTGAAAGGCATTGATAACTTATTGTCCTTCGGGACTTGCATTAGCACGTAATCACCAACTTTCAACTGACTTTCTTTCGCGTTGTTTCTTCTATCAGCATGGACTTTCATTTTCTCCTTTTCCTCCTTATCTCGAACAACGTGGTGTTCCTTGGGGCCATCATTGTGTTGTAGGGATGAGAAACTAGGAAGCTTATTTCTAATTGAGCGATTGAACAAAAGTTCAGCTGGACTAGTGTGTGTCGTAGAATGAGGTGTGGATCTGTAGTTGAGAAGAAAAAGATCTAATTCACTTTGCCATCTTTTTCCTTCTGAATGAGCAGTACGGATTGCTTTTGTTACTGTTTTCATGAATCGCTCTGCCTCACCGTTGGCTTGAGGCCAATAAGGTGTGATTCGGCGGTGATGGACTCCATGTGCAGCTAGATATTCGGTGAACTCAACCGCATTGAACGGGGGTCCGTTATCGGTTATCAATTCTTCTGGATATCCATGTCGGGCAAAGATTCTTTGGAGTTTGGAGATCACAACCGTGGTTGTCGTGCTTTGCATCACTTCAACTTCTGGATATCTGGAATAGGCGTCAATCACGACCAACAATTTCTCGCCATTTGGGAATGGACCACAGAAATCTGCATTAAGTGTGTGCCAAGGATGTGGAGGTAACTTTGTCATATTCAGGGGTGGTTGACATTTTGGTGACTGGTGTACTGCTGCTTGGCAGGGTACACATTCTTTAACCATTTGCTCCACTTGCTTGTCAATACCAGGCCACCATACTTTACTGCGTACAAGCATTTTAGTTTTAACTATCCCTTGATGTCCTTCATGAGCGATAGACAGGACACGACTACGGAGACTCTTTGGGATAACGATCTGTGAATTTCGTAGTATAACTCCACATTGCGAAACTGTCAACTGTTCGTGCTGATTACGATATGGGTTTAAACAACTATCTGTTTTGTTCCATCGATCTTCCTTTACTGCGCTAGTTACTCTCTGCAGTTCAGGATCATTTAACGTTGCGATACGAATCTCATCGAGCGTGAGAGATTTAGGAACCGAGTGACTTTGGATGAAATTGACATATTTCTCCGCTATGGTACTTGACTTGTAGTTGGTGAATAAAGGTTGTCGAGACAACACGTCAGCTGGGTTTCTGCTACCTGGTCGATACTTGATATTAAACTTGTATTGTTGCAATCGTAGTAACCAACGTTCTATCCGGAGTGGCGGTTTGGACTTTGGGCTGTAAATGACTTCCAATGGTTTGTGGTCAGTGATGAGGTCAAATTGTGTTCCAACAAGGTAAAGATGAAAACGCTCACAACCCCACACTACAGCCAATGCCTCTTTTTCGGTCTGCGAGTAGCGAGCTTCCACAGGCGTTAGGGAACGACTAGCATACGCTATGCAGCGATCTTGCCCATTTTCTTGTGTTTGGGCTAATACTGCACCAAGTCCGACAGGACTTGCATCCACTGTTAATTTTGTAGGTCGATTTGGATCATAAAATGCCATCGTACAGTCCGAAGCAATAGCATTTTTAACTTTGGTGAAAGCTTTCTCATGCATAGTTGACCAAGACCATTTGCACGATTTGGTTGTTAATTCACGTAGAGGGGCTGTTAGAGTGGAGAAGTCCTTAATAAATCGTGAACAGTAATTGGCCAGACCTAAGAAACTGCGTAATTGGCTGACATCTGCTGGTGTTTTGAAAATTTTAATTGCCTCGACTTTCTTTGGATCTGCTGACAGTCCGTCCTTTGACAGAATGTAGCCATAGAACCAAAGTGACGGTTGATTAAACTTGCATTTCTCCAGGTTTAATGTAAGTTTCTTGACAACTAATCGCTGTAACAGTGCTTCTAAATTCTTGTCATGCTGGGTTTGGGTTTTACCCCATACAATAATATCTTCTGCGATATTTCGTACCCCGTGTAGACCTTGGAGCGCTTGCTGTATTGCATTTTGGAATACTTCTGAAGCACATGACAGACCAAATGGCAGGCGTTTATACCGAAACAACCCCTTGTGTGTGCAAAAAGTGGTAATGTTACGCGAGTTCTCTTCTAGGACTATCTGATGGTATCCTGCTTTGAGGTCTAGCTTAGAAAACACGACAGCACCAGATATTTCTTCCATTAACTCTCAACTGTTGGGATTGGATGTCTCT